CGCCACACCCACAGCACCACACCACACCCACAGGGGGGGGACCATCGCACGGGGGGGGTGCTTCGATGGCATCAGCATGAGGGGGGGGGCAGACCCTGTTCCTTCGGGTTTCCCGGAGCCTATCCCTACCTGGGAGGGTGGGCTTGTGGGGCTGTGATGCCATGGCCTACTGGGGATGGGGATAGGCTAGACGAGGCCACTTCTCGGCTCTACAGCCTGGCCAGGCTCCACCTCTCCTCCAGCGAGCCGCCGCCCATCGCGGCGGAGCCCGCCAAGCTGCCCGCGACGGCCAGCCCGATGCCCACTGGGGGCATCAGGATCGTGGCCGGGACCTGGGTAACAGTGCCGCGGCGCATACACACACTGGCCTGTCCTTTGACCCTGCCCTCTGATCCGGCTCGACCAGCGCCCAAAGCGCACGGGACACCCTGCCGATAGAGCGCCCGATCGGCCGCCCCGATCGCCAATCGATCGACGGGCGGATCGGCCGTTGTCGGCGGCCCGATCGGAAGGACGGATCTGCCGTCATCGAATCGAGGCATCATGCAATTTCTTCGATGTGCGTCGGATCAGGCTGTATCGGCACGGAGTCGAAATCGAATCAGATCGGCTGCGTCAGCATGCACAACAAAAGCGCCGTGCAAACCTCGGGCCGTATCGGATCGTCGGAATATCCGCGTCGAATCGATCGGATCGACATGGATCCTGGAAGGACGGGTTCTGGAGCCCTCTGTGGGCCAGGGCCGCTGCGACAAAGAGGGCTGCGCTGAAGAAGAAATAGCGGCACAAGCACAAAGTTTCGGAGGTCGTCGCAGATTCCTTTGATCTGCGCTGAGCCCCCCCTCTGGCGCGCGAAGCGCGCCAGGGGCGGCGCCAGAGGTGCCGCCATGGAGGGCCCAGCGCAGATTCAAGATCACCGCGCGGACCTTCGAACGTTTAAGTTTATGCCGTCTTTTCTTCTTCGAGTATTGTTGCGGAGCCGCGTTGCAGTCGAAATGTTGCTACAAGAACGTGGGTCAAGAACGTCCGCCCCTTCGCCGCGGGCCCAAGGCCCCATGGGGTGCCCGAAACGAAGGACAGTCCAAGGTGGGGAGCACAAACACGAAGAACAGCAGGGTACCCCTCCCAGAGTGGGGCTGATCTTAACCCTCGCTGGAGGCGGCCTGGGGGTCTGAACTGGTTGGGACGACGGGGGGATGGCAACGCACCGGTGGCGCAGAATGGCAGAACCTCGGTCAGAAGAATTGGGGAATGAGGCCAAATCCGCTCAAAACCGGTCTCCTCCTGGGATCCACCTGGTGCATTTTTTTCAACCGGACCCGGCTTTCAAAGTCCTGGGGCCCGCAAACGGCCCCTGGAGGCCGACACATAAGAAAAACCTTTCCGAACCCAGAACCTCGAATCTGCTCGCCATTCCTGCTGGCCAGAACCAATGCCCAGCCACCTCGGACCCCCAGACGACTGGAAAATCCTCGTGCCAGCTGCATCGGCGGCCCGATCGGACGAACGGATCGGAGCCCTCCTGTGGGCCAGGGCCGCTGCAACGAAGAGGCCTGCGCTGAGGCTCGTCCCCATGTTGCTGCGGAGCCACTGGCCGCTGCAGGACGCGTCCAGGCCCTCCAGGGCTCTGGTGGTCTCCCGGTGCACGGCCACCACCTCTTCCACGGCCGCGCACGCCCTACGCGTGGCAATGTCCAAGTACGCATCGGCGCTGCTGCACTCCTTGGCAATCTTTGTTTGTTTATGCTGAAGCATGAATTGTGGTTGAACCCCCTGTATCCGCCTGGGCGCTCTCGCTTATGTGCCGGCTGCATTTCCCTTCGGCCCCTCAACGACACCAAACTCAACAATCATGTTACCTTCATGCGCCATGCTTCAATATGCCATATGCACCCATCATGGTACCATCCCCTCTTGGGGGAACTAAACGCGAAAGGGGGCCGATATTCCCGCACCCAGATCTCCCGCCCAAGGAGGTCGAGCCAACACCTCTCCCGAGGCACATTCCCGTTTTCATTTTTTTTTGAGGGAGAAGATGGGAGCGCACACGAAGATATTTGAAACACCTGTTGATCAGGAATAACTGACCGAATTTCCGCCCCGTAGCAGCCGGACGTAGAAATCAACTTCGGGCCGAAACACCCGTGACAATTATTGCCCCGGCAACTTCCGTGCAGATGAAGGGAGGAGGAGGAGGAGGACCAGAGTGAACATCGAGCGAATTCCCGCCACTGCTTAGGAGAACGGTCATGAAGCAAAATCGTGCGAACGCGGAGCGATACGAAATTCCCCTATGTCGTACCGGTGAGACGGGGAGGAGAAGAGGGGGGGGAGGAGCCGGAGGGAGGAGGAGGAACCCAAATAAGGATACTACGTACAGAAGCATGGCCCCGATACTTGCCCTGGCCCTGGGCCCGGCAGAGCAGGAATAGGATTTAAACTCGGCCGCTGAATTCTAGACCACAATCACACATAATGTGCGCTGCATCCGCCCTCGGCAAGCGTGCGGGCGCAATTGTGACTGAGCGTGCAAATTCCGATGTACTGGCCTATCCGCTGTTTTAGGCCTGGGCGGAGGAAGATAGCGCACCTAAGCCGGGACAGCACAGTGGAGAAGGAGGGGGGGGGCAGAGCAAGCCCAGCGGCAGACTGAAACAAAACGACCGCCATGAATGACCACGTTCGGCCAGGAAACACACAGGCAGCACGCCCTCGAGTATCGAACGGCCGAGCGGCGGCACGATATGGTGAAATACGAACCCACTGGAAAAGAGGAGAAACGACGACGACGACAGGGGAGAGAAGATGCTGAATGCTTAATAGTGCCGCTGCCTTTTGTTGGCGAGGGCCACGGCGCGCGCGCTGGCGGGGTGCCCGCGCGTGGCTTCGCGAATGAAGCCGCGAAAAAGGTCAGGGGCGTCTGCGACGGGCGCCCAGTGACGAACTGCAGCCTGGACGCGGAAAGTCGCATATACAGCGATCGCCCGGCAACTGTCAAAGCGGTCTTCGTGGTCGGCCTCAGGTTCGTATGCCGAGCGAGCCGTTGTGATGCCCAGCCCGACGAAGTCCTCGAGCTGGCTGTCCGCCTGCGGCCGGGTGAGCCCCAACCAGCGAGCGCGCAGTGCGTGCAATGCACCGCAGCAGGCGTAGTGCTTGATGGAGTCGGAGCCACGGGGGCAGCCGAGGCAGCACGGGGCCCATGTGCCGAATCTGCTGGCCGTCGCCCAACCGTTCAGAGCAGCCCGAATGGTCGCAGAGAGCACGCGGGGGGTGACCAACGCGGAGAGCCGGCACATGTGTTTGCGGAACGACTGCACGCGATGCCCCGGCAACGTGCGCATCTGCCAGTGATCGAGCCTGCGCCGGAGGTGGATCTGGGCGTCAATTTCCAGCGGCGGCCGTAATGCCCTGCTGATCCGAGCTTGCCAGCCCGTCGCTTGGTGGCGACCGTCGCCGACGTTCAATTCTGCAGCGTCACATTCCCGTTTCCAGCTCGCCCGACACATAAAAAACAATGCGACTAGGGGGACCGGTGAGGATTCAAAAAACGAAGGATTCGAGCCCCAGGAGAGGGACAATCTGCAGGAATACACATGAAACACTCTAGGTTCGAGCCCCAGTCGATGGGGCACTCTATAGGAACATGCGCAAAGCACAAAAACAGTTCGAGCATTTTTTTTTGTTGTTATATTAAGAAAAATGTCAAGGCAGCCCGTGCAGCACGAACCGATCCTGCCGCCAAGATGGCGAGCCGCAAAATGCGGCGAGGAGGCCCGCAAACAGCGGCCTCCGAAAGCAGCGCGCACGCCGCGCTGCATGGGTATGCGAAAGGTAATCTGTAGGAACATCCGTAAAGCACAAAGTATTCGAACCCAAGGACAGGGGCCTGTGGGGGCGAAGCCTACGGGGGCCGAGAAGCACTCCTCGAACACATATCCCACTAGAGAAAAGTGTCTCCTGGGGCTTCCTGGGGGCGGGGGAAGCGAAAAACGCTCCCCGAACATATAATTGTCCCAATGCAGAAACGCGCCTCCTGGGGCCTCCTGGGGGCGGGAGGACTGACAAAGGTTCCCCGAACACATATCACAATACAGAAAAATGCCTCCTGGGGCCTCCAAGAGGGGCCGACAAAACCCTCCCCTAACGCATGTCCGAATCCAGAAAATGTCTCCTGAGGCTTCCTGGGGCCTCCTGGGGGCGGGGGGGCAAACACTTTCGCCGAACAGGTATGCCTGCAACGCCCTGGGGCCTCCTGGGGCCTTCGCAAATAGCGGCAAGACTGCTCTGACGGATTCCTGTGCTGTTGAACTGCGAAGAAAAATCTCCAGCGAAACTGTCGTTCTGGGCATCAACGAGTAACAACAACAATCATGCTCTAAAAGGCCCCCTGTGGTCCTGAACTGCGAAGAAGTCTCAAGCGAAAAAACCGTGCCAGCATCCGCGAGTAGCAACAACGTTGTTCTGACGGACCCCATTGTTGTGCAAACATTAAAAAAACGAAACGGCCGTTCCATAATCCACAAGTAGCGGGACGACTGCTCTATAGGATCGGCATGTAATGCTAAAGTGAAAGACGTCGCAGGCGAGAGCGCCTTTCCTGAGGGTCGTGCCCCCTCTGGCCAGGACCTCTCGGAGTCAATTGTGAGGAATCATCGCGCGGGAACTTTGTAGCGGTTGGGGGGCTGGTTTGGGCGGAACCCCGAAACGCTTGAGCGAGAGCCTCAATGTCAAGCGGAATTCAGCTGGCACCAAAGCGAGAGCGCCAGGTCACCTGTAGGAGGTCCAACTTTAATGCTTGTTTCATAATTAACATTCACCGCTCCCGTGCGAGAGTTCCTCACAATTTACTTCGAGAGCCCTGGCCAGAGAGGGCCCGCACACCAGGAAGGGCACTCTCGCCTGAGACTTCCTAGCGATTCAACACCACAGAAAATCATGTAGAACAATCTTGCCGCTACTTGTGGTTGCTAAACGGGGTCCTTCAGAACCAAATTGCTACTACTCGCGGGTGCCGGGACTGCTTTTCCGCCTGAGATTCCTAATTCATCACCGCAAGAAAATCCTTTTAGAACGTTCTTGCTGCTACTTGCGAATGCCGGACGGGCCGTTTCGCTCCAGTCAAAGCAGTCTTGCCGCTACATGCGGAGGCCCCAGGGCGCTCCAGGGATGTGTTCGGGACAGTTTTTCGGCCCTCCCCCCTCCAGGAGGCCCCTGGATACACTATTTCATTTTGAGATATGCGTTCGGGGAGCGCTTTTCGGCCCTTCCGTTCCCAGGAGGACCCACGAAACCATTTGGATGTTCGGTGGGCGCTTTTCGGGGCCTCCGCCCCCAGGAGGCTTTCGAAGGCCCCAAGAGGCCGCACAATGCATGTTTCTGTATTGGTACATGTGTTCGGCTCCCCGAAAACTTCGCCCCCATAGACTTCGCCGCCCTTCTCCTGGGAAGAAAAATCCAAATCCCAACCAGACGATTCAGGATTCAACCCGACGATCCAGATCCAAAACGGTAGTGAAACCCGGATGGTCCAGATCCCAACCAGTCCCATTTTAATTTCCAAGCGCTGGAAGCGCTAAAGGCGCTACATAAGCGCTCCCTTGAAGGCGCCTCCTCGGCTTCATGGACTCCTGCAGGTTCCTCGAAGGCTTCTTGAGGGATTCCTGATGATTCCTGTGGGATTCCTCTGAAGGGTCCCTGAAGATGCCTGAAGAATTGCTGAAGCATTCCTGAAGGTGTCGTGTGGGTTCATGAGGTATCCTTGACGCATTCCTGACGGATTCCTGGAAGATCCCGAAGGACTTCTGGGGATTCCTGAAGGATTCCTGAACAATTCCTGAACGAATCCTGAAGAATCCTGGGGTTTCTTCAGGAATTCCAGGCGGTTTCCTGGGGATTCCTCAAAGAGATTCCCGAATACTCCCGGGGAAGTCCTGAAGGGTTCCTGAAAAATGCCGGAGGATTCCTCAAGCCTTCCTGAGGGATTCCTGGAAGATCCCTGCGAGGATGTCTTCATGGCTTCCTAAGGATTCTTGACTGAGCCCTGCGGATTCCCGGCGAAATCCCCACTGTTCCCGAGGGATTCCTCAATATTCCCGTCTGATTTCCTGATCTGTCATATTTGCTTTCAATGAGAAGCCTCTGGGGACTGCGCTGGTCCCAACCCCCACCATAATCGTCTGTTTTACGCGTTTTCCAATCGGGGGCGATTATGAAGCTAATGCGAGCCAAGCCGCCAGCAACATGGTATAACATTCCATACGTTTCAGCAAGCATCCCATAGATAATGCACCGTCCCAACCAACCCCAGGTCTTGTTTTTGTTTTCATTATCCTCCATTCGCTTCCAAAAGGAATTACATTGGAAACGTGCAGATCCCGACCTCCAGCATAATCCACGTGTGTGTGTGTGTGATGTTCCTTTTGTCTTTCGGGGGCGAAATATTCGCAAATGCGCCGATGTCAGCCCCCAGGGCAATTCTTCAATCTATCATGTCGTTTCCACTCGGACTTTGATAAGAAACGCGCCGATCCTCCCCCCGCAGGATCCTGACATGTTTTGTTTTCCAATCAGGAATCCAATCGGAAATGCGCCGCGTCGGCCCCAGCCTGTAGCCAACTTGTTGCATATTCTGTTTTTTTGTAACAATCGGAATTCAATAGAAGATGCGTCGGTCCATGCCTCCAGCGGAATTCTTTTTTTTTCCCCGCCCTCCCTCTCCCCGATCAGAAGCGAGTGGCTAGTACATGTGCCCATTTCAGTTTTTAGCAACACTGGTTAACTTTCTTCCCAACCATCCTGTGGTGTTGAGTCCTCGTTTTGAAGAGACGGTCCCCGCGTCCCTTCTCTCCTCTCCTCTTCTCCTCTCCTCCTCCTCTCCTCCCTCCCCTCTCCTCTCGTCACATTCTCACTTTGGCACATCCCTCAAACGTTTCGGAACTCCACCTGAGGTCCCACTGGTGCAGTTCGCATGGCGGCGCCGCTTCATTATGGCACACCCGTCACACGTTTCGTGGCACCATACAACGGGGGCCCTATCTAAGGTCCCACTAGTGAGTTCGCATGGCGGCGCCGCCCAATTTTGGCACACCCCTCGCGCGTTTCGTGGCCCCATATGGAGCTCCATCTAAGGTCCCAGTGGCGCAATTCGCATGGCGGCGCCGCCCAATTTTGGTACACCCTTCACTCGCTTTCGTGGCCCCATAGGGAGCTCCACCTAAGATCCCAGTAGCGAGCTGCGTGCGCATGGCGGCGACGTCCCATTTTGGTACACCCCTTACTCGCTGTCGTGGTCCATACGGAGTTCCACTTAAGATCCCAGTGGCGCAGTTCGCGTGGCGGCGCTGGCACATTTTGGCACGCCCCTCGCTCGTTTCGCGGCCCCATAGGAAGCTCCACCTGAAGTCTCAGTGGCGAAATGCGTACGCATGGCGGCTACATTTTGGCATACCCCTCACACGTTTTCGTGGCCCCATAGGGAGCTCCACGTGAGGTCCCAGTGGCGCAGTTCGCGTGGCGGCGCCGGCCCATTTTGGCACGCCCCTCGCACGTTTCGTGGCCCCGTAAGGGGGTTCCAGACCGTCTTTCGCTCCCGTGGGGGCCGTCGGCTGTCCGGCGCGCTGCCCCGTCGGCGGACGTCGCCCAGGCGTGATCCTGGACTGCGGCCGCCGCGAGGTCGGGAACGGCAGGAAGGCGGACGACGACTGGTGGCTGGAGCTCCACGCGCTGCTCTCTCGCGCCACCCGCCACGAGGACCTCCTGCTCATGCGGGCGCCGCGCGTCGAGTTCTCTCTGGCGGGGCCGCCAGAGGGCTTGCGGAAGCAGCTGGAGCAGTTTTCGGTGCGAGTGAATTGGCGCAGGAGGGAGGCGACGGCCCTCGCCAGGGAGCTGGGCTTCACTGAGTTTATCCGCGAGGCTTGACCTGGAGAGCGGCCCGCCCGAGCCGCGCCTTCTCTCGACTGCCCAAGTGTTTGGCCTCGCGCCGCGGACAATCCGCGTGCGTCGCTGGGGCCCCCATCGGGGCGACCGGCGCGCGTCGCGGGAGCTCCGCGCGGCGCTCTGCCCAGCGCCTCGCTCGCCCGTCGTCGCTCTGCCCAGCGGTCATTTCATTGCCCGCCATCAGCCAGCCAGCTGGCCCTCTTTCCTCCGCGCCGCGGACGACCCGCGCGCGTCGCTTGGGCCCTCTCGGGGCGACCGGCGCGCGTCGCGGGAATTCCGCGCGGCGCTCTGCCCGGCGCCTCGCTCGCCCGTTGGCGCTCTGCCCAGCGGCCGGGCCCTTGCCCGCCATCGGCCAGCCAGCTAGCTCTCATTGGTCCGCGCAACCGACGACCCGCGCGCGTCGCTGGGGCCCCTTCAGGCGCGCGTCGCGGGGGCTCCGCGCTGCGCTGCGCCTGCAGTCTTGCACCTTGGAGCGCAGGGGCAAAGACGGAGGAAACGAGGAAAGGACGCGGGCGCGATCCTCGTGAGGGGCGCGCCGACATTGCATTTGCACTTGGTGTAGCCATGCTTGCATTCATGCCAATAGATTAATCGAAAGGGAG